TCAAATTCATGACATCATCTTTGTTGCCACATATATACATACACACATGCATGCATATAAACACACATGTATGTATAACTCACAGCCTGCTGAGTTCATTTGTGTTCATATGTGTATTTGTTTAGGACTGACCACTTGGGATTGGATAGTCTCTGGGGCACTTGTCCCTGGAGAAGACAGTTTTTCTCTCTTTTTTTAAAAAATATTTTATTTATTTATTATGTATACAACATTCTGCTTCCATGTATATCTGCACACCACAAGAGGGCACCAGATCTCATAACGGATGGTTGTGAGCCACCATGTGGTTGCTGGGAATTGAACTCAGGACCTCTGGAAGAGCAGTCAGTGCTCTTAACTTCTGAGCCATCTCTCCAGCCCCAGTTTTTCTCTTAACAACCATGAATTACCTTCATGTAGGAAGGGGACATTCTAAGTGTTCCCCACCCACTTTCACATGTCAGTTGGTGTCATAATTGTACAGGTCTTATTTCGGCAAAACATAATTTGAGACTTGATGAATGCAACTTCCCTGTCATACATACAAAACAATCTCACAGCAGAGGCCTTGGTGTTCTGTTCTTACAATCTTTCCAGCCATTCTTCTATGACGCTTTCCATCCCTGCTCACAGACATCCCGCCCCTGTCACCCTCATCACAGTGTGCTGTGCTTTTTTCAAGACTGTGGGGACCTTGTGACAGTCCTCTGAGATCTTTCCTAGCATCTGAAGTGACGGGATGGCGGGCAGAGCTGTCAACAGAGTCCTGCTTCTCACTCCCAGTCACTGACTGAGGCAGCAGCCAAGTCACTTCAACATTCAGGCACAGGTCCTACATCTAGTCCTTCCCAGCATGCACACCTGTGATGTAAATCAGCCTTCCTTTTGCTTCTGGGAAAGCCTCACCTCTATTTGTTTGGGAATAGCCCCTTTTACCTCCTGGGCCTGAGAGGGAACCTAGATAGTGAGCCCCTAAGTGTTTAAGTTATAAGGATTTCTGCTAAGGTGAGATCAGGAAGGGGACCTGAATGCTGGTGGGGGTCCTTTCTTCCAGGACCACCTGAACTCAGCCATCCTGTCCACTCTCAGAGATTAAGCCAGGCCACCCTTGTTCTGTAGGCCAGCACTTCCCTCCTGTACCTCTCTCTGTGTGTAAGACTAGACTGTTTATGTTGACTGAGCTAGATTTTACCAGTTTCTGTTTGTGGAAGAAACACACACACACACACAGTTTAGGAAGAAAGATTCTGAGCCCTTATTTGTTCCTGTCAGGTAAAGAGGAGACACTTGACAGGCTCAGCCAGGGAGACTACATTCGGCCCTCTCCTCTCAACTTGTCAGGTAACCCAGATCTGTATACGATGTGGCACTGGGAGCCTTTATCTGGGGTCTTGTTTCCTCCTCTTCATGGCTCAGTATACCCTTAGGAGAGGCTGGGGACCTAGCCCGACAGCCCTCAGCCCATAAGCTGAAGAAAGAAGCGGGCTTCCAGGTAACCAGCAGGCAGCAAAGCACCATGTGTCCCAGCAGCTGTACAAGGCCCATGCTGCTCCTCTCCTAGCAAGTGTGAGTGAGCATGCTGGGTTGGAACTTGCTTGCCACTGAAGTCCCTTTGCCTCTGTCCTTTACCACCTTGGAATATCTGCTCTATGTCCTGTTGAGAGCCACAACCTGAGCAGGAGCCTGGTCATAGGAAAGGAACTGAATCTGGAGGGCTCAGGATGGGGCTGAGCTATGGGGCTCTGCTGGCTTAGGAGCTAGATTGACCCCTAACATGTTTGAAGTATAGAATGAAAAGAAGCTCGCAACTTTATGCAAACAATGTAAACCCTAAACCCAGTTAACAGCCTCCAGACTTCCGTGCTCTTGGAATCGTTTTTTACTTTCCATTATTTATTTTGCAGTGCCGAGGAGCAAACCTAGGGCCTGTAAGTACTAGGCAGGCCCCCTACCAGAACTGACACTCGTGGTTCAATGGTGAAACACACATAAAATTTACCATTTCAGTCATTACTAAATGTACATACAGTTCTGGAGCACGGCGTAAGAGATTCTCACTGTTGTTCAACTATCACCACATCCATTTCTAGAACTTTAGGGGTTGAACCTAGGGCCTTGTGCATGATAAGCAGGTGCCTTACTGCTGGGTCTCCAACCCCCATCTCCAGAACCTTTTCATTTCCCCACTGAAACTCCTTACCTGTTTAATTACTCTAGGAGCTGAGAAGGAGGGACTTTATTGTCTCTTTTTGGGTTCAGCTTACCCCACTAAGCATAGTGTTTTCAAGGTTTATCCATGGAATTGCATTACCAGAATTTCCTTCCTTTTAAGGCTAATATATATTGCACTGTAGGATGGCCCACATTTTACACATCCACTCTCCTATCGGCGGACCCTTAGGTTTCTTCTTTCTGTGTTGTATAGCACTGCTTTCATTTGCTAAATCCAAGTCAAGGTCAGTCTTGTGATGAATCACCATAATGTCTCCACAGTCCTTTCACCAACTTACATTTACCATTGAGGTGGCTGATCTTGGCTGTTAACCTGGCACGCCTGAGAAGAGGGACCCTCAGTTAAGGAATTGCCTCCATCAGATTGGCAATTAGACATGGCTGTGGGGCATTTTCTTGATCACTATTTGATGTTACTCCCTTGGGCAGTGCCATATCTAGACAGGGGGGTGTAACAATAAGTCTTTACTCCAAAGCCACCCAAGCCCCGCCACCAGGCTGCCCAAGTTCCATCCACCACCATATTAAGGTCCCAAGTAACACACAGAGACTTATATTAGGTACAAATGCTGCTTGACCAATGACTAGGATTTCTTATATGCTAGCTCTGTCTTAATTATCAACCATAACCATAATGTAATATTTTATAAGACTTACCTTATGGAGGACACCTTCCACTGGCATCCTCATCCTGGGATCACATGGCGGCTCAGAGCAGGAGGAAGAGCAAAAAGGACTTCCTTCTTGCCCTTGCTTATATATGTCTCCCTGTTATGTCACTTTCTGCTTGGATCACCACTTCTTTACTACATTTCCCAGAATCCTCCTTAACTCCTAGTCCCACCTAACTTGCTGCCTCATTGGCCAAACAGTATTTTATCATCCAATAAGACAAACATATACACAGACACACTTCCCTCATCAGGGAGGTCTGGGCTGTTTAAAAAGGCAAACACTGTCTAGAAGCAAGCCAGTGAGCAGTGCTCCTGCCTTGGGTGCCAGCCTTGGTTCTCTCAATGATGAACTTTTGCCTTAAGTCAAAATAAACTCTTTCCTTCCCACGTTGGTTTGGTCAGTGATTTATCACAACAACAGAAAACAAAGTAGGCCAGCTATTTAACACTGGGCATACTCCACATCCAACAGTGTATATCTCAGAAACAGCCAATGGGAATAAAGTAGAGTTTTGGTGTGATTTTGATGTTTTTCCCTCAACACTTGGTGATACTAGGCATCTTTTCACGTACTCAATGAACCTATATATTTTCTTGAAGAAATACCTGTTCAAGCCCTTTCCATTTTGAGCAGAGTGCTCACATTTTTGTTGAGTTGCTGGAGTTCTTTATATATCTGTATACCAATCCTCCTCTAGCAGTCATTTGCAGTGGACTGTTATTATTTATTTTGCAGTGGGGTCTTGCCAACATGAATGAATGGGTTAATGTGGGTGTGTGTACATGTCTGTGGAAGTAGACATGCGTGTGTGTGTGTGTGTGTGTGTGTGTGTGTGTGTGTGTGTGTAGGTCAGGTCAATGGCAGGTGTCTTTCTCGGTTTTTGGCTGGCCAGGGAGAGCTCCACGGGTCACCTGTCTCTGCAAGTGCCACAGTTGTGTGTGTGCCACTGAGCCTGGCCTTATATGGGTGCTGGGGATCTGAACTTGGGTCCTCATGCTTGCACAGCAGGCACTTTACTGATCAAGCCATCCCCCAGTCCAGGCTGCTTTAACACAGGATATTAACATAGTTGTTAGGCTGATAAGATCATAAATTGTAGCTTTCAACAGATTTTTATGGAAGATAAAAGACCTGTGACAAAAGTACTTAGGACAGTGTAGCCTGTTAGGGCTTCACTGACCCAGCTTTCTTTTGTCTTGCCAGACAGTAATCACTGCTGTAGCTGGTTCTGTGCCACAGACTAGCTGAGGTCTGTCAATTTTCACCGAACTTACAACAAGTGAGGCACTTCGAGGCATGCCTTCTCGATTACTCTGCACAACAAATGGCATGTACAAACTCCATGTTATAAGCCTCCATGATGTTGACTTTCTGATACTTGCCAATCTGTGACATAGCATGGCCAGTGTGACCCAGTGGCAAAGTGCAAGTGCCCTGGGAATAGCACCTGTATCCCGACTCAAGTTATTTTGAGGGGTCAGTAATACCATGAAGCCCCAGAGCAGTGCCTGGGGTTAGGGTTCCCCAGGCCTTCCGGTCATGAACAAGTCAGGTGGGTTACTCCTGCAGACCAAAGGAGAGAGAGGGGGAGAGAACACACCTGTTCTGGGACATGCTGGTCCTCTGGGGTCTTCACCAAGATGACATGATGCTGATGAGGGCTGCCTGAAAGCCAGTCATTGATGCCCAATTGTTCTGACCCTATTTGTGTCATAGTACATGTATTTCTGCTTTCCTTCCTCTGGTGACCTGTGGGCTCCCAGGGATGGGGCCACACCAGTCTGTATCAGCTCCCAAGGTACCTTTCACAGTCTTCAACCCAGTCAGCTCCTGTTGGTGACTACTGCCATTAACCATCTGCTCTGCATTTCTGTCTCTGGGGACTTCGTTCTCTTTCTAGTCTCTCCCCCACTTCCTTTATCCTGTGTCTCCACTACCCACTCTAGAGCCTCTTGGGTCTCACGCATCTCTGATTAGGCATGGCTGTGTGATAGAGTCCCTCCCCGCTCTGCTGCAGGTGACCTATTGGGGAACACAGTCTAGGAATTTCTAGTCCTTTTATTTTGGGAACCATGGGCAGGTAACAAACGGACTGGAATGAACCCTTTTATTGTCATGGGTAGAACAGAGGAACCCCCCAGAACATGGGCATTTTGGAAGGGACTGATTTTGGAACTAGGAAGGGACCGGACAGTGTGTCTCACTGGAGAATCCCCTTTGTATCTTGTTGAGGCTGTCACAAAGGGACCTGTAGCCTTTACTGTGCTTGTATATTGATCCTGGCATTTTAAACCCAGCCTAGACAGATGTGGGTGTCTCTCCTTCCCCATCCCCAGGTTCCCATTTAGGGCAAGTGCAACAGAAACCCCAGGGGGACAGGAGGGCCTCTGCATGGCCTTTTGTTCACGGTACATGCCTGCAGCTCTCTCCCTGGCTTGGGCTTAGAGGTTTCCACTCAGGGGCCCGACAGCTGCTGCTGACAGACATGCTAAGAGAGAGGAAATGAAGACCTGTTTGAGCTTGGCTGAGGCGAGGTCTGGCTGACACAAGGAGAAAGCAGGTTGCAAGCACCGAGAAGAGCAGAGCGGAGCAGCAGAGGGGACGGAGGGGAGCTCTTGTCCCTTTGGACCATGGTTCCTGATGCAATTCAGATGGACCCAGCTGTCCTCCAGGTCTTCAGCCCCACACCCAGTTCTCTGAAAGAGAGGAGGAAGTAATGATGAAAACCCTCCCTATCTTGTGTTCAACCTTAGCCTTGTGGCGGGCCTTGAGTTTGTTTGGTGTCACTTCATGATTTGGCAGATGAGGAAACTGAGACTCTGGAGGGGAAGTGGCTTGTTATAGGTCAAAGGTCATTTGATAGTATTGTATGCATTCTTATCAAGCTACCAAGAAGTAGATCAGCCCAAGTCTGAAACCTCATGCAGCCCACATGCTCTTGGCAGTGAAACCTTAGGGTGTGGGGTGAAGTGAGGTGCTCTTGGGCCTGGCTGTGTGGGATCCATGGACAGCGGGCTCTATGCTGGGACTCTTCTCTGGCTGCCTTATCTTTCTGACACCTCATCAGCAGGTATTTCTCTGATACCTCCTTGGAGGTCAACTACATGTTAGCTGATCCCAGCAGCGGGTACCAAAGCAGCTTAGGCATCCAACATCAAGTCTGTTCCATCCAGGGAATGCTGGGTTAATGAATGTGAGCTATTTAAACTCTGCCTCTTGTCAGGAAGGGAGGAGAGTAACTCTGGGGAAATGACCAAGCCTTTGCCTATAGAGTTCCCATTAAGTGTGAGTGGAGTTTTAAAAGCCCATAACTGGTGGTGTGAGGAAATACACAGGAAACAGTAGACAGTTTTAAGTTGACAGGAGTTAGACTTTCCTGGAAGATGGGCTTCTGGGGATACCTGGGGAGGATCTTGATCACCTTAATTGGGATGGAAGACCCATCACTGGGTGGCACCATTCCATGATTAAAGGATTCTGGTCTCTCAGGAGGGGTACACCTTGAATCCTAAACCCAGGAGGCAGAAGCAGGTGGATTTCTGTGAGTTTGAGGTCAACCTGGCCTACATAGTGAGTGCCAGGCCAGCCAGGGCTACCCTGTTTTGATGATGATGATGATGATGGCAATAATAGAGAAAGCAAGCTGAGCTCTGGTTAGTGAGTGTGCATTCATCGCTCTGTCCTGATTATGGATGTCCCTCAAGCCCCTGCCACCGTGACTCCCTGCTATGATGGACTATGGCCTGGAGTGGCAAGCCAGAACAAACCCTTTCTTCCTTACTTTGCTTTTGTCACGGTGTTCTATTACAGCAGCAGAAAGAAACCACTAAAGCACACAGGAAGTACAACTCGGAGAGAGACTGGATAGAAGTGCATATGCCTTCCTTCACTTGAGAGTTAAAATGCCACATATCTGATACATTCAGGGCCCAGAGGATGGGAGCCCACCATGGGCTGGAATTTTCCTAGGCACCATACAGAGGAGATGGAACCATGGGAAGAGAGGGGTGTGTATTCTAGGGAGGGAAATTGCACAAGCACCACTGTGGAGCAAACTACTACCCCTGGTCACATTGCACAAAGCAAGCTTCCCTGCTCATAAGTACATTGCACAAAGTAAGTTTTCTTGGGCCACAGCTACCCTTATTCTCTGGCTGCTTCTATGTTACATGGGTGGCCGTGAGTAGATGCAACTGACTATGGCCTCCAAAGCCCAGTGTTTACTACCTGAACCTTCACAGACAAAGTCGGCCTGCTGCCTGTGTTGAGAAAGGAACGATGAACTCTAAGGATGTATGGCTAATCTAGAATCAGTGATCAAGGATGGTGAGAAATGAAATTGGCTGGAATGAAAATGCTAACACTGCCCTGGCTGGGTTTGATGACTTCTAAAACACCTGTGAGCCTCACTGAGTCTCACTTCACTTTGACTTTTACATCAAACCTGAGTGATAAAGGATTTTTATCCCAAATGTATAGACGAAGCCAAGATTTACAGGTTCTCTGATTCTCTCAAAATTGGAAAAGGGGAGTCAAAAGCCAATACATACTGTCCATCCCCCTGGTGTTTACCAAGCCTACGACGTGCTGAGCAGGAACAAGGCTCTGGGATACCACAATGGACAAGACAGGCATGGTTACTTCACTTGCAGAATGCAGACCACATTTAAGTTCAAGGCCCACCACAGCTCCTTAGAGAAGAGGAAACCCCTGTCCCCTGCAGTCAGGGAGGGCCCAGCGAGGGTTCTTGAGCAACTGTTCCTTATTTTCTTTGTGCCCAGTGCTGATGGGCACAGAAGAAATGAAGTCATATGGCCCTGGTCGTGAAGGAGCTTCCATCCAGGAGAGGGGGAAGCAAGACTGTAGATAAAGTCCAGAAGGCATGGCTTTCCATAAGCTTAGCTGTAGTCTGGCTGTGGTTCACTCTCTTCAGCTGCAGGCGGGTGCAATGATGGTAACTTTCTTCATCTACTTGCTGTGGAGGGGAGTGAGCACATCCACGCTGAGAAGAGTACATGGCGATGGTGATGAAGGAGCGCTGCCACCACCATCACCACTCAGGCAGCAGTGGTTAGGGGGGCCTTGCCAGGCAAAGAGACTGCAGGGGGGAAGACGGGAGTGAGATGATGAAAGTCCTGGGCAAGGAGAACATGCTGGCACATTTTAAAAGAGGGGGAGGGAAAATTTTAGAGAGGTTTGTGTGGTTTAATCAAGGTAAAGCAAACACTGAGAATGGACACACTCCTCTGCCTACTTGTCACTCTGGGAGCTTCACTGGAGATTTCTTAGTCTGTCCAGGACCCATTTGGGGATTAGCAGCTGCAGGCCTCACTCAGAGCTACCCTCTGTAGAGTGGAATAACTAACTGAGGACTCCTGTTGTCACTGATTACAATGTACAACTGGCCAGTGTGGTGGTGCTGCCTTGAAGATAAATTACAGCCAGATTTGACTTAGGATAAATCTATTCTGTGCGGGGCTTGTTGAAGGTATTTTACTTTACTTGATTTTGAGATAGTCTTGATAGCTCACTACATAGACCAGGCCTCTGCCTCCTAAGTTGCTGGGATTACAGGTGCATGCCACCACTCCCAGCCCATTAAGGGTATTTTAATTGAGATGTTAGGGAATCATCTGGGGAGGGGCATCTGTGCCTCCTCCTAGCACACAGCCTCTTTACTTGGTTGTCAACCTCCTCCCCCCTTTTGCATGGCTTAGGACAGTAGACAGGCCGGCTTTTCAGCAGTCCTCTCTCAACAGGCTCAGTTGTTGACTTGCTCACAGTGGATACTGCCTTTAGGTAAAGTGTGGGGGCAACATTTATCTTTTGGCCCCAAAATATTAGCTCTACTAGTGGGATGGAATTGTTGGGAGGGTCACGGTTTCTAGACCCTGAAACATGTTGGAATCACCTGAGAGATTTCTAAAATCCTTGTTCCTGCATCCCAGAACATGAGATAAGCACTCTCTGAAGAGAAAGTTCAGGAAGCCATATTTCTAGAAAATCCCCAGTGACTCCAATGTGCTCCAAAGTTTAGAACCCAGAATTAGTTAAGAACCCAGAGTCTAGAATCTATGGTGTTTCCCAGGCTGGTGGTGGCTTTTGAGCTCTTGGACAGGGCTCACTGGTTGGCCTACTTTAAGTGATTCATTCCATCTGTAGGTTATATCTTGCCTGGCAGGTTCAGTGTGGGCAGCAGCCAGCCTGAACTGGGTGCTGACATTTGATGATGACATTCTATGGGAGCATGGTTCACAGTGTTGGCCACACAAAGACTGCTGACTCTCCTAGCTAGATGGATGGAGCTCACCTACATACCTGGAAGGCCAGAACTTCCAATGCTGAGGTCAATGGATGTTGTCTTCTGCCTGTCTGGAAGGTACCCATGGTACAGACTTGCATCATTTCCCAGGCTTGTAGGAAGGGAAGAGAATAGATGGGTTGATGTAATGAATAAAAGTAGAACAGGAAGAAGAAATCTAAGGCCAACGCAGCTGTGACTCACTGTGGTCCACAGTGAGGTGTGGAAACAGGCCTTCAGCAGCCACAACATAGCTACTTCAACAAGGAAATGGCTGGAGCTTGACTGAAAACTGAGACCTTCCAAGGGGCTTATGGAGTTTTATATCACTTAACATTTCTTTTGTAGATGAATGAGAATGTGCTAGGAATAAGTCTACCCACCTTAGAGACGGGCAGAATGAAGTATAAAACAGCAGCTTATTCAAAGTGGAAATGGTCAGAAGACAAGGCAGAGCCACAGCCAGGACTGTAGGTGTGTGCCCAGCTTATAGAGACTGGCAGCGGAGAGTCCCAGAAGTGAAAACAAATGAGAGGCTCCAGTCTGAAAGTCCCCAGATTAACGAGTCAACAGTAAATGAAGGCAGCCTGTGAGGCTCACATGGCTTACTCATAACAAGCAAACAGGAGATGTCCCAGCAACTGTTTTTCCTTAGAAATTCTTCACGCTCTAATTCAGAGATCCAAGAGGGCATCCTGGCAGGCCCCTACATTTTGCCAGCTTCCCAGATGATGTAAGACCCACTAGGATCCCTAGAGCTGGCCACACTGATCAGGCCAGCTTAGATGAGTGTTCCACAGGTTGAGTTTTGGTTTACCAGCTGTCAATACCAAGCCTGCAGTGTTAAAATTCAGTGACCATTACTGGTGTGGTAGGGTGCTGATCTCTGCAGCAGGCTGCCCTAGAGTGACCACATAGCCAATTGAGAACTCCAGGCTGAGATGGGCTTCATTCTCATTTGTACTTGGCCACTCGCTAGCAGAGTGGGACACAGGCACATGGAGGTTGGGGGGGGGGGGGATAATGCAGGTAGTAGGTCAGAGAAGGCATCTGAAACAGCCAACACACTGATGTTGCCATCAGGAGCTCTGGGTGGAAAGTGCATACATAGGGAGCAGACTATGGAAAGAGCCTGCAATGAAAAGAATGTTGCCTCGTCTCTGTGGGGCGCTGGGAAGGTGGGGCCATCCAGACCCAGCAGTGCCCACTCCTCTGGGCAATTGTGGCGTTTGCAGTTTCCTGTGCGCTGTGGGGTCGGAGAGTGGGAGGATGTTGGCAGTGTGGTGAAACTCCACAAACGGGTGTGTTGAAGGGGAAGGTCAGGGGCGAGCTCTGTTGATGGCGGCAGCAGTGTGATGTGGGACCCATTGTAAAATTCCCCAAACCAAACCCAAGAGCAGGTGTCAGGTGATGTCAAAGCCATCTCTCTCTGGGTACCAGACGTGACTAAACTAGTCCTAAGTCTGCTGGATTTCTAAGATCAGGATAATTCGGGGAGAATTTTCACCAACCAGCTCCTTTAATCAAAGTCACTCAAGGCAGCATGAAGACAAAACTGGGAAGTGACAATGAACATGAGAGAAATCCAGAGAACCGACTGAAAAATAACAGTGTAGACCTCAGAATCCACCATGTACCATACTGTGAGGTATGGACTTCCACTCCAACTTCATCCGTCCGTCTTCTAGAGGTTGGGAAGGGGAAATCTGAGGACTGTAGGAGGAGAAGAACAAAACATGGTGACGCAGGGAGAGCATAGCAGGACACATGTGGGGTTTCTGGTTTGTTCTGCACATGTGGATAAGGGTATTAAGTCAAGATGAAATGCCTTAGTCTTGATGTTCTCACCTGGAAACGGGGTAATGAATCATCATGCAGCTTGGTTCTGTGAGATGCAAGGAGATGGCTGAGTACTTAGTGTAGTACTTAGGTGCTCAGTAAATGCTGACCATCCCCAGTAGAGGGACTACAGCCCCCTATCCCTACCAGTTCATTCATTTGGCAAACATATCTTCATCTGTTGTGAGCAAAGCTCATTGGTCAGACATGAGCTCCGAAATGGAGGGCAGGTGTCCTTGCTTCCTGGGTCCAAGTCATCAGCTTCTGCTGACATGTGTTCACACAGCAGCAGCTTTATCATTACTTTGAGACAGATCGACCATGACCATGGCTTTGTATCTTTCCATTCATGAGCACCCTTTCCGTAGCAAACCATGACCATACGACATTCTACCCACTCACCAAGTTTACAGCCACTGCTCGCTTGTGGGGCACACTGACACTGGTTTCCCAGCCAGTCTGGGGGATGTATGAGTCGCATTTCAAAGGCGGTGAAGCCTGAGGCTGAGATTTGAGTGGCTGGCCCCTTACTGCTCTTATGCTGGCACTTGTTTCCCAGCCGGGGAGGCATTTGGGAGGTATGCTTACTGCCCTTCGTATACTGAGAGCTGCTGTCTGCACTGCTCTTCTCTGTCTGCTCCAGAATGTCTGCAAGGCAGTGGAGGAGACACAGCACCCGCCCACGCTACAGGAGCTCAAGCAGAAGATTGAGAGCTACAACAGCCGGGAGAAGCACTGCCTGGGCATGAAGTTGGTAAGCAGGGCCCGCCCCCCCCTTACCCAGCATCCCTTCTGTCCCCCCACCCCCACCTCTCTGCTTGGATTTATACTCTGTCTGGGCATGAAGGTGATAAGCAAGGCCTGTCCCTGCCCATCCAGAATCCCCTCTCCCCACAGAAGTAGTGAGTGACTCCCTTGCAGTTCCCTCTTCTTTGTCCAGGCCCAGCTTTCTGTGGCCTTGGGGACCCGGAGAAATAGATTAGGTTTTAGAATAGACTTCAGATACAATCTCTGTTCCATTCACACTCTGGCCAATTTGGGAAAGCTTAACCTCCCCTTACGTCAGTGTAAGAGATCTTTAGGGGATTAAAGACAGTGATGAAGGCTTTGAGACTTGGTCCCCAGGAAGCCCTTTGCCAGGGGAATTTTGCAAGAGGAGTGGAGTGTGTACTGGCGAGCACCCTGACCTTGCACAGGGTCAGAGAGACTGTCTCTAAGGGAATACTAGAAGAACCCTGCCCCCTGCTGGAGACCGGCAGCAACTGGCTCTTTGGGGCTTCCAAGTCACACAGGTACCACAGAAAAGGCCAGAGGCTGGAGTTTGTTGGGCTGGACTCGACCTCTGATGCCCCTGCATAGCTCTGAGGTAGAGAGGTGCCTGAAGACTCTGCCTGTTGGATTGAGGACTCGACAAAGGCAATTGGCACCTGTCTGGTAGATGGTTTGGGCCAGCCAGCCTAAACTTCCTGTGAAGGAAGCCAAAGAGCCCCACCAATCTTCTCTGGTAACTGGGCTCTAGACCTCCTGGCTCTTGAGGAGAGGGGAGCATCCTACCTCCAATACCTCTAGTTGGCAGACTCGGGAAGAAACTCCACAGGCTGGCTGGAATGGCCCCTATCAGGGCTTCCACAGTTCATAAGCTTGAGTGGCAGGCAGAATCACACAAGATGTACTTCCCACTTGCAGAGTGAAGATGGCACCTACACAGGTTTCATCAAAGTGCATTTGAAACTCCGGCGGCCAGTGACAGTACCTGCTGGGATCCGGCCCCAGTCTATCTATGATGCCATTAAGGAAGTGAACCCCGCAGCCACCACAGATAAGCGGACATCCTTCTACCTGCCACTTGATGCCATCAAGCAGCTGCATATCAGCAGCACCACCACTGTCAGCGAGGTCATCCAGGGGCTGCTCAAGAAATTCATGGTTGTGGACAACCCACAGAAGTTTGCACTTTTTAAGCGGATACACAAAGATGGACAAGGTATGATGAGAGCATTCCCAGCCTTTCCCTAGTCTGCCAGTGCCCACACACTGTCATTAAACCCGCTGTGAGCCCTGGATGGGACCTGGGTAGGAAAACAAAAAGCCTGATCAGGCCGCTCACACCTACCACTGTCCATCTCCATGCACAGAAAAGGCATGATCTGAGTTCTGGGCTCTTGATCTTTATAAGATGATGATGTAAATAGAGGCAGGGCCTCTTGAATGCCAGGCAAGACAGCTACCACTGTCTTGTCAGGTTCATGCCCATTAGCACCATGTCCATTTCTGTTATCTGCCCCAACCTGTGCATTTCCAAGTCCATCCCACCAAGCCCAGGCCCCGCCCTGTCCTGCTCTGTCGAGAGGAGCACCCAAGCCTTCACTCTTTATTTGCAGTGCTCTTCCAGAAACTCTCCATTGCTGACTGCCCTCTCTACCTTCGTCTGCTGGCTGGGCCTGACACTGACGTACTCAGCTTTGTGCTAAAGGAGAATGAAACCGGAGAGGTAGAGGTATGTCTGTACCCTTTGCAAAACCCAGCCCTGGATGGGGAAAGAGGAGTGCTGCTGTCCTAACTGCACAGTGAGCTCTGGTGAGAGCTGGGCTATAGGCAGTGTTTAACCCAGGATTCTCAGTGGAGCACAGCAAGTTATAACCTGCATATGGCACTGCCTGTACAAAGGATTTCACTTGCTTTGTTTGTGAAAATGAGGCTTGGGGTGTGTACTAGGGTGGGTGGGGGTTACACACTGAGAAACTATATTTGGACCCATGCTGGTCTTGCCCCAGGATGGCCTAAGGCCCAACAATTTCCAACTGGGTTTTAACTCAGCATAGGTAGTTTTCAGTCATTTTCTCTCCTAAAATGACTTCCTTTCTACAAGAGGGGACTAACCAGTGTCAGTCCCCTGGCAAAAATGGGATAAAATCAGGCAGTAATCTTCCAAGTCCAGGATACTTGGGATGTGATCTTCACAGAGTGACAGAGAAGGAGGGTCTAAGTATTTATCACATTGTTCGGTGGAGGTTGAGCATGAGCAGGATTGGTTGTTTTTGTTATTGTTTTTTTTTTGGGGGGGAGGTCAGTGGAGATCTGGCTGGAGGATCTGGGCAGATCAGGGCTCTGCCCTCATTTCAACCAGGACAACTCATCATGGGAGTCTACAGCTGAGTCTGTTAGAAGGGAGCCAGTAAGCCTATGAGCTCTGCTGGCCTATGGGCTGGGGCTGGGAGAACAAAAGTGCAGCTGTCTATGCTGCTGGCGGCTCCATGGTGTGGTTTCTTTACCTTCTCTCCATGGAGTGTGGGGATTAAAGCAGACATACCATAAATGCTCCTTTGTACTCAGAGCTTGGCATCTCATCCCTTTCTCCCATGTGGAGGTCAGCCTGGCCAGCTAGAGCCGAGGTCCACAGCTAGTGAGAAGTCATCCTGCCTCTGGAGACCACAGCCAGCACCAAAGTGAGGAAGACCTCAGTTGCTGTTGACTCTTGTGTAAAAACAGCGTTTGCAGTGCCAGGATTTGGCCGTTTGTGGCTGATGTGACCCTCATATATAGTACAAATGTCATTCATGGTACCTGCATGTTCAAACTGCGTGGGGCTGGCTCACTGATGTAGGCTGGAGACAGTGGCAGGGCCCTTGGGTCATGTCAACCTCTAACCATTTCTCCTTGTTTTTCCACTTCTTCCTCCCTGCCTCACAGTGGGATGCCTTTTCCATTCCTGAACTCCAGAACTTCTTAACTATCCTAGAAAAAGAGGAGCAGGACAAAATTCACCAAGTGCAGAAGAAGTATAACACATTCCGGCAGAAACTGGAGGAGGCGTTACGGGAGTCCCAAGGGAAGCCTGGGTAACCGGCCTCCTTTCTGTCCTCTGAGTACCCTCCGATTTATTTTATTATTTTGCAACAGACATTCTCAAGACGCCTTTGGGTCCACCTGTGCCTGCCCAGCAGTTAACAGATGTGGCACAAAGTCTCTTCCACAAAGTGTCTGTGCAGGGTTTGATTCCTGTCAACCCACGGCACCATGACTCTGAGAGATTCCGCCTGGATCAGAACTCATGTGGGAAGAACAGTGTTTCCCCTGCTCATTCTGCTGGCCTTTCACAAACCAAATAGTTGCCTCTGGTCACCAAGCTCCAGTCAATCACACCAGCTGGCAAAAAGGGAAGAAAGGTTTTAGAGCCCTTTCTTTTTTCTCTGGATTTTTCTTCAGTTCTTTGCCACCTCTAGTATCTTTATTCATGGGTCAAATGTGGCATATTCATTCAGCTAAGTCCTTGAAAGCAGGGAAATGCTCATGAAAGGACTATCCTCCTTGCCCCCAGGGGCCTCCTCTTCACTAGGACTAGACACTCGGGGTTAGCCTGAGATTTCCAGAGGCTAACAGCCCAACCAGGCCCTGTCTCTGTCACCCCATGGGCCGTGCACATGCAAACCCAAAGGCACATACTTACATCTGTGTGTCATTTCAGCATGTCTTTGTCCTGATTGTTATGTTAAAATTTGAATTTAATATTGTTGTCCTCATGGGTTTCTACCAAAGGGAAACCAGCCACTTAACTATTTTAGTTTCCTGCTGAGTCGCCAGAAAGTATTGCAGAGAAGCTCATCCAAATTGTCTACAACCTGCCTGCATCTAGGAAGCAGTGGGGCCTGGACCGCTCCGTCTACCTCGGCATCCATCCTCTCCAGCTGTTGCCTGAGTGGTAGCTTTGACCACTTATGGCGGGCGGTGGGGTCCTTTCTGTTGCAAAGCATGGTCTGCTTGCAGCACAGCCCTCAGCAAGCCTGTGGGCCTGACCTGCCCGGTGACTTCAGTGCCTTTTTGTTTTCAGGGAGAAGAACAGGGCATGTTTGTAGAAAGCTCTCCTGCTGGCTTGCCCCTGGCAGGAAGACGACAATGGTGGTGTAGAGAGGAGGGCCTCAGAGCACAGGGTGACGATCACACACCTCTTTGCCATCAAGCTTCCTGATCAGACTCTGACTTGAAGATGTGATATTATTAAACCACAATGAGAGCATCAGATTATGACTCCAGCTCTGACTAGTGCAGACTGAACACAAATTAGCCAGGACTGCAGAGACACTCAATAGAGGGGATTAAAACTTGTCCCTTTCAAAGAAGGCCAGTGTTCCAATGTAGCCTCAGAAGAGACCACTTTCTTGTTGCCCTTGCCTCTCCACACCCCTCGGGTCGTTTCAAGCCCAAGCTTCTTCATGTAGCCTCAAAAGTTCCCTCCCCAGCTCAGGCTAGTCCACATCGCTCCTGTCCCAGAGGAATGCTGGGTCCTTGTCATTCAGTCTTCTTCAGAGCTGCCAAAGCAACACAAGCTAGCAACTCTGAGGCTGTGCATGCTATCAACCCTGGTTGTCAGCCACCTGGTGCTCAGCCTCATCACTTCCCTCCCTCCTGTGGATTACAGGGACAGATGGAAGTCAGTCCCTTCACCCTGCATGTCTGTAGCATTAGGAGAAGGCATGGCTCCTGCTGCAAACACTGTGAATGCTGCTGAGAACCTCCCTCCATGGATGGCTATTTTATTTTTGAGAAGAAAAAAAAGTCACATATATATATATA